ATTATAATTAATGGCATGGATAACAGGGTAAATAAATTACAATTTAAAAATTTATTTCAATGCTTTTAATGTGTAATATAGAGTACCTATAACATATTATTTACAAGATAAGTATTTTTTTAATTTATTTTAATTAATTTTGAATACCTTAAAGGTACCTTCTTATTTAAAATCACTTAAAATTTAAAAACATATTTCATAGGTACCTAGTATAACAAGTATATTTTTTATTTTAAAAACTATCTTGCCATTGTTTTATAACTGATACCAATAATCCAATAACAATAGAATACTGTAGAGTCTAGAGGTACATGACCAAAGGTAGTTCTATAAATATATGATAAATAATTATATATTAATTCTATTGTTATATTATACTCTTTTGAAATGTCTATAATTTTTCTTTTAAATTAATTTCTCTTGACGAACATACTAGTACTTCCGTAGCTACTTAATTTTTTTGTTTGGAAATGTTGGGTACCTACTTAAATGATTTGCGCAAGAACCACAAAATACAAGTTCTGCAAATAAAATGACGTCATAATTAAAGACTGTAATAATTATTATGGGAAAAGTAGTATAAAAAAAAAAATGTTATTGCACCAAATTTGTTCAATTTAATACAGACCCCAGACCCTAAATAATATTTTTTGATGAACCAAACTAAAATTACTCGTAAAATAACTAATTAAATAATGAGAAAACTTGGTTTATCTTTAAATATAATAAATAGAGTTTACTTACTTTTAATAATAGTTTAATGTACAGTAAACAGTGTCACAAATTTGTGTCGTTCATTGATAAATAGTTTTTGATGTTGTAACAATTATTGTTGGCCGCAATCCGATTCTTACAAAACGTCTGTGTTGACGACTGACGAGAAGTGAATACGTTGACGTTATTAACAAAGTTACTTAGAGTCGTAGAAGAAAAACAGATATTTTATATTATATACAGAATATACCTTAACGTCCTTAACTAAATTAATGATAAATAAAATGTATGGTCTATGARCAAAATAAAAATACAAACGATGACTTGACGTGCAAAATAAAGTGATTAAAACATTGATAGGGCGTGGAAGTAGGAGAAGGGGTTCCAATGTGTCACAGTCCACAGAGCCATCGGTGGCTGGCAATGATTATCGAAATAACGAACCTCTTTGGACAAACTGTTAAAACCGACGTGGACGTAAAATTTCTTTTTGTTCCAAAATGTTTTATATTCCAACAATGATAATAATATTAATTTTCATATTTATTATTTTACCATTTTACCTTTTTAAATATACCTTTGTTCCGATAAACGTTTGTTTCATAATAATTTATTTGTCGCATTGAATTTATTATAAATAATTTACTATAATAGTACAAAGTGTTTGGAACAAATGTTCATTCGTACAAATGGTCTTGGAGTAAAGATTAATCAGAAAATAAATGTGCGGATAAACATTTAAACCGCATTTTTATCTACGCATATATATTATTATATCTTAGACTTTAAAACTTAAAATTTAAAATATCAAGGTATAATTGTTTAAGGGTATTTATGGGCTAATGAAGAAAAGAACATGAGATTATTTTACACACATTTACATAACAATAAAATACGATGAAATTATAAAATTTTATAATACAAAGTACCTACCTATTTACAAAAGTGTTGGCTCTTGATATCATTGTATTTATTCATGTGGCTTGTCAGACGTATCCATGTTAGCCACCCCTGGTCAATACTACATATTATAATATAATATAAATCGATACATTTTGCCCATTTTGATCAAGTGGTACATGGATATTTTCAAACTGTGTAAATTATATACTTGTATGCGGGTATGAATCATAGATATTATAAT